GTACTTGGCCAGTACTGCTGTTTAGAGCATTTCAGTGTGCAAGTAGCTGGCCGGCTTCTTTTGCTGAGTGTTCTCTTCTGATTCAGTAGGCTATAATCCTCTTTTTAATGTTTGGGACAAATCATTCACCAAAGTCATGGTAGGAGGTTGTGATTAAATGTACAGTTCTACACAGCTTCAAGAATCCCTAAAATACCTGGCTGAAGCTAGAGTCTGATACACACCAGAAGCTGTGGGAAACAAAAATGTATTTCCTGGTCTCAGTGACATGAACTAAATTAGCAGTCTGAAGCCAAACACCTTTGCTGGTTGTAGTCTGATACCCGCTGATGCCAGTAATTGCAGTTACTCTGCTAAAATAAGCAAAAATGATCATTGTCACTGACAATCTGCTCTGAGATAACAGCTCTTGCTAACAAAGGGCTTGATACCATGGTAGCATGTGCTAATGTCACAAGATGATATGCACAATTTCTCTGAGGTTTTCAAGCATATATCAGACACCTGGCATGTCTTCCATATACAACATATGAAGGAAGCCACTTCCTTGCTTTCCTTCTATAACGGACTATTTCTTTATGAGGTTTGGGTCATACTCTACATTATTTGGCCATATGGCAGTTTGGATACCATTGTTTTTTGCTCTGGTTCTTTGCCAGACCTTTCACTTTAATTGTACACATTCTGTATTAGTACAGAAAAACAGAACCTTGAGCTGTTTTGAGCTGGCAATGTTGATAAAATGGTGGAAGAGTGTTTTACCTTGTTAAAAAGTCCTTTAGAGACATGCTATCCTTATTTTTCAGTTTAACAGTTCAGGCTTTGGATGGTATGTGCACTTAAAAATAAATGTCTTTGGAATACCACAGAAATTGATGAGATTTTTTGAGACAGTGAAGGTGTTCTAGCTCTATAATAATTTCAGTTTGCTGAGGGAACAAAGGCTAATAAAGGTAATACTTATATTTAGTCAGTGGTGTGTCTCCTACTGCAGCATGACAGGAGGAAAAGAAAAGCCCATGCACAGTGCACCAGATATGCACAACTGCACATACAGAGCTGTGAATAAATCTTCAAGACAGGCTGCAGCACTGTTTTTCTTCAATGTGCTTGAGAAGAGTGCCTTCAAGGCAGTGTGTACAGCGGAACTGGAAGAGAGATGAATATATATGTTATCTGCAGCCTGACATGCCCTTGTGGCTCTGTTCACCCTCCTTGAGCTCCTCAGCTTTCCCCACACTTTGTCCCAGAAGTGATGCTGCTGCCTCATCTGCAGGGTGCTCTGCTGGCTCTTTTCTCCTGAGGATATCCCTTTCTCATGCTATTCATGGAATTTCTAATAGTGTAATTTACTACTACATAGTTGTTTAATATCAATTCTACTGTTAAATAAGTATTAACATTTTTAATGGTGTTTGTGTGGGGAGGCAGAGGAGTCTTTATAAACACTGGTACTTCTTGTTGAGGTACCACAGTTGTATCACCTACAGCTGGCAGGAACTGCATCATGCTCTGTATATAAGACCAGAATAAATAACTGTTACCTTATCCTCTGATCTATTACTTACCAGCATGACTGTCTGTAATTTTTATATCTTTTTTATCCTAGACATTACAGGCTGTCTAGACCTTCCTGTGTTAGTTTTTTTGCAAAACAGTACACAGTGGGGAATTTATTTGGGAAGAAGGTTTTTAAATATTGATAGAATGCAAGTAGCAAGTAATAGCTTTTTTACTGACTGCCTTTCATTGTTCTAGATAAGAATGTTGCATTGTGTTGGCATGATTTAAAAGAAGAAAGAGCCGTTTTTTTGCACACCTGCTTTTAAAAATGTTTAATATGGAATTAGAGTATGGAAATAACTGCCCTAAAATATGTACTCTTATTCACTATGTATTTGTCCTTCCTGATGTTAAAAGTTATGAATATATAAAGCAGTCAAGGTGAATCCTACTTATTGCACAGTTTCACATATGCAAATCAGTTCAGTTCGAGACCAACTATGAGCAGCTGACACCTGGTAAAAGTAACTCCCCAGCCTGTTTGTGTGCTTACCTGCCTACATAACTTCTATAAAACTTCATGCTGAATCTTATGATTCCACAGAGATGTTTTTCAATGCAATAATGAAACAGAAGAATAAATGCTTGAGAAGAATTTGCATTTGCTGACAAAGAGTAGAGGTGCATACATTAAAATGGTTAAAAAAATAGTCTTAAGTCTCCAAGTTAAGCACTAAAGTTGAGTAAAGTTCAGAAAAATTTACCTAGTAGTCGTAAAGCTGGATATTTACAAATACATTGGTGGCATTTTTAACTCCGTTGTGAAATGTTGCCACAAAGAAGAACCTATTCTGGGCCTTGTCTCTATTCACTCTCTCTGCCTTGTTTGTGGTTCAGGGAATGTGGAACAGACAACAAAAACCAGGCATGTGCTGCCCACATTTTTTCTTCATGTAGTCCTTAACTAGCCATATCTTTTTTTGCAGTTTTATTGGATAACATTCAGTTATGCATTAATTTTGACAGATGCACTTGAAAGTTCTGTTCAAATGCAAACAATAAAAAGACTCATCCATGATATAGCTACTTATTAGTGACTGTTTATGTTGTCTTAAGGCTTGCTAGCCAAAGAAACTGCATACACTACTCTAGGCACTGAATAAACACAGTGTTTTAGTATAAAATCCATGCTTAAACCAATGTAACTATTAATCAGCTTGAATAGACTTACCCAGAATAAGGCCTTATAGTTAAAGCTATAGCACTGCTTATGAGTCAGAACACATCAAAGTAATGTCACAATAAAGTGGTCTCAGCCTTCAAAAGTGCTTATATATATGGTTAAGATAATTTATGGCAGAGGATTATATTTTCTCTTCATGGAAATTTTGTAGACAGGGCTGGAGGCAGGGTTGGGAGCAAGGGCCGTACCAGTAGATGCTTAGACTACCTGGCCTGAGTGCTCTTATGGCACTTCTTGTTCGTCCCTGGTAAAACTCTGCACTTTTTGGATAACAGCTTTATCTCAGTGTCTGGGCAGAGGGGTGGATATGCTCTGTGTGGTGGCTTGCCTGTAATCTTCTTCCAGTTATACTGTTGTATAACCACATTATGCTCTGCTGACATCAAACACTTTTGATGGAATGTAATTTGAAAAGATGGTAGACATAATTCTGGACATAAAAATGGCATTTTTATGCATAGAATGCATATGAAATGCATAAAAATGCATTTCTATCACTAGCAATGTCTGAGAATATGGTTTAGAAAACTCCTGTGTGACAGCCACAGAAAAAGTGAGTTTGCAGTGAATTTTGTGTTAATTTTCATAAGAAACACAATGAGATGGAGATGGAAAGATGCATTTACCAGCCAGCTTCCAGAGGCATTGCATTTTTTTGCCCTTTAGGAAATGTGCAGAAGGAGGCATTTTTAAGGCGCTTACAGTCTAGCACTTGGCACTCATATTAACAATGAAGTGGTTAAACGCACACAAACATTTATTGCAGTGATTGTTTCAAACAGCTCTGGTTCTGTATTTGAAAAATTCAGTGTCATTGGGGACATCCCAGCTGCCTCAGGGCCAGAGAAGCTATTTTCTAGGTCCTCTGTGCTAGGAGGCTTAAACTAGCAAAGAGTGATTGAGTTTTGCCCTCCTGAGCTCCTTAAGGTTTCACGGTTGTAGAAGCAAAGTGACTTACAGCTCTCCTACAGCCTTTAAGCATTTTTATGCATATAAAATTTGCAGTGCTGAAGTGCTAAATTGGCTGATCTCTGAGCCAGTTTACCTCTACAAGCATAATAGTTCAAGAAGTTGACTATAGTCAGAGGTTTCTGTTGAGGATAAAGTGCCTGCAAAGATTTTGTGGTTGGCACATTTCCCATGCTTTGGTCTAGCTTTTGCTTGCCATGTCCTGTAGCCTGACATAACTGCAAAGAAACTGTGCCTTCATCAGCAGAGATAAAAATCTGTTTATTTGAAGACTATTGTACTTTTAATTTGTTTTAGAGCTCACTTCTATAGATATCTGCTGTCTATATATGAATGTGGATATCTAAATAGCTTTCCTTTGTGAGACATGGGTCAGGGCTAAAACTCCCACAGTTTGCTTATAAAATGTATGGTAATATCAATCTTGTTGTGACTTGAAAAAGATGTGTTTTAAACAGCTGAAACTATGGAATAAATTCTTCCTCTCCGTCACCTCAATATTTTCTCACTCAGGAATTTACATATGGCAGCTTGGTAGCCAGCTGTGCAGAAGGAGGAAGATGGGCTTTCTGAGTAGCAGAATGAATACTGAGCCAGAGATCCAAAAGCCAATGACATGATTTCTAAGCTTATCACCATCAACTTCATAATCAACAAGTATAAATATTGTGTAGATGAATCCCAGCTAACAACTCTTCCCTTTCATGTAATTGGAAGAGAGAATAATCCAGGTCACTCTTTGTGATGGCACTGTCAATGCAGCATCAAGTGAAGGTTTTAATATATTTTTTTTTTTCATTTTGGGTGTGTGTTTTGTTTTTTAGTTAGGTAACGAACAGATTCTTGGTGCACACAGAGTGAAGATCTGTTGAGTAATGCAATGCTGATTTTGTACAAGTACTTTTCTAACAATGGTTATAAAATTGCTCAAATTTCTCCCTATGAAAAGCCATCAAGAGATCCAGGAAGAACTAAGAAACAAGGAAAAGTGCCAAATATTTGTTTCCAAGCAAGCAGTGGTGTGTCAGGAGCTGTTTCTTAAGGTGTTGCCTGATGAATTATGAAAAAAGATGAAGTACAATTTTCAGACATAAAACGGTGCATTATATGGTTGACTTCATTCTTTGTCATTATTCTCTAAGTTTTCACATTCAGAATCACATATGAACTGATTTTGAGGTCTGAGATATATGCTGTGAAACTCCCTTTAGCCTCACAGATGTATGGTTTTGGATGTCTGGAACATGAAGAGAGAAGATGGTTGTTGATTCCTTGTATTCTTCTTCCCCATCAGTGGTGGCATTTGCATGACATTGGTGTGTCATCTAAAACTGAGATATCTCAGCTGGACTGAACTACATACCTGCTAGCACTGCAGCAGTCTAAGTGAGTAGATACAGGGTAAGATCTCTCCTGTGCATTTAAATGTAAAGGTTTATATATGCTCTTCCTCCTTCCAAAAACTGCAAGTGATGGACTTGAACCTTGAAGTCACTCGTCTTGTGATGTGAGTGAGAGCTTTTGCTCTGTGATAGACTGTTTATGGTGTGGTGATTTTTGCTTTCTTCTCTGCAGCTTCTACTCCTGCTGAGTAGTTAGGAGAAGTCACAGTTTCACAGGCAGCATTCAACAGCTGCTTCTTTATGGTCTCTGTTTATCTGGTAAACTGGAATTGCAGTGAATATAACCATGAGATGTGTCCCCTGCCCTCTTGGCCCCTAAGAAAAACCTCTCTGTATTTGTGTTAAACATTTCGTTCATTTGTTCAGTAAAGAACCGCTGCTTTGCCTCAAGTGATCAACCTTGCAGAAAGAAATAATGACAGGTGAGAAACAATATTCACAGCAGCAATGTTGCAGTCAAGTTAATTGGTTTGGTGAGTGGAAAAGGTGAAGATGTGGGCCGCCTTCATTTATGCTTTAAATTACTAGAGGAAGATTTCCACTTAAGAGAAGAATTATTGCTAATAGTGTTTCTGAAGTGTTGATTTACTCATGTCCAGTTGTAACATATTCTGGGAACAGTTACTTTCCTATCTCCTGAAAAAGCGAAAAAAAGGATGGTGGCAGAGTGCAACCAGTGAACCATAAAGTAGTCATAATTATTTTGCATGGAATAATTCAACTTGTCCATGCAATACGAATATATTGAAAATTTGAAGGGATTCAGAATCCAGATCTAGTTTTGTGTTTTGCAATAGTTGGCTAATATTTTAAAAAAACTAACCCCAGATTATTACTACAAAAATCTCCACTGTACTTCAGGGATTTAATATATACATGGGAATTTTGCACTTCTGAAAGTGTTGCATTTCAACATTTCCATTTTCTGTTAGAGTATTCTCCTCCTTAAGACAGGTAAATTTTAAAGGACAAACAGAAGGACTGTGATGGTGCTATTCAGTTCTACTTCCAGGTGTGCCACTACCTGATTTTGAGGTTTTATGAAAGTCATATTATGGTTCATCTCATTCTCCAACACAGAGAGTCACGGAGTTTTAGACAAATGGTAGGTAGTATTCATAGAAGTACTGTTGCACCACCTCATCTCAAACACAGGTGCTATTCTCAGCTTGACAAAATACCAGTAAAAAGAATGAAGTAAAATGAGGAACAGATTAATAAAGATCAACTTCTAGAGTCAACCTAAAATGTAATTAGCATATTTTTCTGAGGAAAATGGTACAAAGTAAACAAATGACCTTCCATTTAAGAAATACACTTGCCTTTTAAATTTTGCTACTTTGTTTCCAGCTAATACTGAGACAAGACATGTCTGATGTCTGTGTCCTAAGTTTCTGGATAATAGATGAAGAAACCTTGTCAATTTATTAGAAAAATACTGTTTACTGTTGGAAAAAAGGGAAAGACAAATTCCAGCACCTCAGAAAAAAAGATTAATAAGAATTATAACTGTAAGGCTATTTTTACTGTATGATTGGTTTGCTCCTGCTGAATTTTAAGAATTGCTTAATTTTTTAAATACAATATTACAGAAGATGATTTCTGTAAGGGATTATTTCTTTCAACTGCTTATTTAGTTAGGTGAAATGTTGAAGCTTATAGTATTTAATTTCTGTCAAACATGGACAGTTCTCAAATGTCAAGAAAAATAACACCTCCTAAACCAGTAAACTGAATTTACTACTCCTGAGTGTGACTGAAAAATAAAGCAGAAACTTTTGAGTTTTAGACTATATTCTGTATCACAACATTTTTAAAGCTATAATTAAATGCTAGATCAATTTGTTCTTTGAATTGAAATGTGATACTTTTAATAGAAAAATATACCCAAAAGGAAGATTGTAACTCCTAAGTATATAGCCAGAGGAAATCAAATAGAGGTGTTTTTACAAAGAACAAGATGCACTTCTCCTAATTAAAACATCAGATACCAGTTTGGCAAAGATGTAAACTTTATTTCAAAAGGAAACATCTCTGCAAAATAAGCTTTTGTGTTTGAGAAGAAATATTTGTGTAACATGAAAGAATTTTAAATTAAATATGCCAAAAAGAAGAATAGTGTGGATTTGAAGCTTATGATGTCATACCTTTAAACTCACATAAAAGTAGCTTTTCTATCTGTCCTTCCTAAATTTCTTAGTAATAACAATATGATAACAAATTGATTACAATAAGGCTACTCTTCAGTTTCTAATCTTGACATTCTTCAAATGTTAATGAGAACACTGATGACTTGAAGGTGATTTTAAAAGAGAAAGGATACCTAATATAAAATGTGGTTGACTCTAGTGCCCTCTCAGACCTTGGTGTTTCTCTTGTCTCAGTCCCATGTGTGCATTGTCTTCTTGAGCCCACGTCCAGCAAGGCTGAGCATGTCTTCCCAGTATGCACACATGGACACACAGAGAGGCAGACACATACACACACAGAGAGGACCTCACAGACCAACAGAGACAGCACATTGCCTTTATCAGCCCCCAGACTTGCATGGACATGACCAACATGGATGGCCACTTACTCTTCTTCCTCTCCATCTGACTGTAACTGAAGCTTACTAATGGTAAGTACACACACCTTCACTCACCCGACTTACAGGCACATACGTTCACAGACTCACATCTGTCTGATTCCCCTGCCCAGATCACAAGCCTCTCACCTGTCACCAGCTCAGACCTTGAGTCTTTATAAGGGTTGGTCTCCTCCTTCTGTGTCTAGTCCAGCTTGAAAGTTTGCTAGAAAACATGTACACAAATGCATGCACACACAGAGAATAGAGGGCAAGGTCACACAGAAGATGGGAAGAGGATTTAATAGGAAGGTAGTACAGATGACAGTGATCAGGTAAAAGGCTTGGGCAGAGAAGAGTACTGGTCAGCATCTTGCTTATGTGTGACTGGCCATGTTTGCTCTCTCTTCAGTTCCTCCTCCCACATTTGTTCTTCCTTGAAATACCTTGATGTCTCTGTTTTCCTGCCTTTGTTCCTTTCTGTAAACATCCCCTAATAAGTTTCAGATTCCCATATCCCCATAAAGCATCCCATGAGAATTTTTACACAGTCCCAAGTACCTCATGAGGTTGCTTTCATGATACTCTTGTGTCCCCCCTCCTTATAAGCTACAAATTTGTGCTGAATGTCCCCACAGCCACCCCTGGTGATGCTTCCCAGGGCCATCAGCTGGTGCCTTGAGAGGTACTGTCCTTTAGACTCTCTCTGTTGACTATTGATCATTACAGTTTGCATGTCTGTGTGTTTAACTTTCCTGTTTTCTGTCTTTGCCTCTTATATTGAAGAGCTGTTCACTGGACAGCTATCTTTACAGATAGCCTTATATTCCACATCTCCTTGCACACAATTGCCAACTGAACTTTAAAATGAAGCAAAAACCCGACCATTGTTATTTCTGTAATGTGACAGGCAGAGACAGGACTTCAGCATTACTGATGAGACAGAGTTTTCAAAAGTACTGTCAAAGTAATCTTCTACCCTACCCCTTAATGCATTTAATGAACTACTGAAATTCCACTGTAATCCAAGCAACTAACATCTCAATCCTCTTCTATGCCAAACCATCTTTGACAGTGAATTCCTAGAAAGGAGACAAATCTAATTTTCACCAGTAGAAAGAAATCTAATATGAATTATAATTTGCTAATATCTCTGTGACAGTTTCACGACTGCTCTTTAGATGATTTAACTTTAAACAAGGTGTAAAACTGTCTTCATTTAGATAAAGTTTAGTTATGATTATAACTACTTGCCAGATGGGATCTACCAATATCTCTTGTCCTTGTATAGAATATGTTAGTAATATATGATGGAGTGGAATAGGACTTGATGCCATGATGATCAGATGAAGTAAACTCCTTTTCCTAGTTTATTTAGACTACAGTCTCAAACACAGAGAAGGGCAACGAAGCTGGTGCAGGGTCTGGAGCACAGGTCGTACGGGGAGCGGCTGAGGGAACTGGGGGTGTTTAGTCTGGAGAAGAGGAGGCTGAGGGGAAACCTCATCGCCCTCTACAGCTCCCTGAAAGGAGGGTGCAGAGAGCTGGGGATGAGTCTCTTTAATGAAGTAACAAGCAATAGGACAAGAGAAAATGGCCTCAAGTTGCACCAGGGAAGGTTTAGACTGGATATTAGGAAGCATTTCTTTACAGAATGGGTTGTTAGGCGTTGGAATGGGCTGCCCAGGGGGGTGGTGGAGTCCCCATCCCTGGAGGTGTTTAAGAGTAAGGTCTATTTAGCACTTAAGGACATGCTGTAGTTGGGAATGGTCAGTGCTAGGTGAACAGTTAGACTAGATGATCTTCAAGGTCCTTTTCCCATCTGTACCAGTAGAAAAGAAGTTTTAGTGTCCCCAGGTGAGCAGGAAAAAACCTGTGCGCCAGGGTAAAGTCCCCTAGAACAGGCAAATCATAGCTGTAATATAGTACATGGCAGCTGTACTGAACCAGACAATCTGGCTGAGAATACTGGAGAAAGAGAAAAGAGGGAGATGAGGAAGGATTTATGCAGACCAAAGTATAGATTAGGGTGATATATGGTAACACTGTCATCTTACCAAATGACTTTCTAGTAAAACCACAAAGTACAGTACATCAGATTTGGCATGGTCACAGTCTTTCCCATGCCTTTCCTCCCATGTTCCTATTACTTTCAGTTTCATAAAGACTCCAACACTTGCCAACGGAAATTCGGTTCCAAACCATCACACCCTTTACTAACTTCCTGACAGGTCATTGCTGTCTAAAGGAGGAATGCCACCAAGACTGAGAGCGACACTTAAACTCATATTGTACTTCATGTAATCTTATTTATTCTCAGACTAGTGAGTAAGCCTTAATGGTTTTTCCAGTCTCTCCCAACAGACTAGAGCATGTAGTGTTTATTGCCCATTCGCCCAGTGAGCTCTCCCATCCTGGAGAAAAAGCATAATGGCCCTGAACAAAGGAATAAAAAACTGTTGGGATGCCAGCTAGCAATTTGTGTAGCAGAATTACATTTACCACAGGGTGGAGTAGTTTCTCACATATAGAGCCTCTGGTTTGAGAGCAAATGTTCTTATTTCTGTGTGTTGTGGCAAGCACTGTGGAAAACCTGTGTTTATCCAAGAACAGACTTGCTGTGGCTTGATTGCCTGGGAGTCTGTCTCTCAGAAAGGACCTCTCACCTTGCTCAAGGCTTATCATAGGAGACAACATATTCTGAGTCAACAGGAGCTCACATGGGGGCATTACGGTAGTCTAGTGTGATGCTTTGGTTCTAAAATCAGTCTGAGGTTGGGATGGGGTGGAGTGGAGCATCCTCAGGTTCAAAAATGTTTCCCTGGGAGGGAAACCTATGACATACCTAATACATAAAATACAGATATTGCAGCAGGAACATGTCTCTGGATCAAAGTGTGACATTGGACAAACCAAGCCGACCATGAAACCCAATGCTACAACAGCTTCTCCTCACCACAGGAAGTTGATGTTGCAGAGAGAAAGCAGCCTAAAGTTTCTGATTCCTACCTAGGTTCACACAAAGGATAGGGGGAGTGTCCAGCAAAGGTGGATGAAAATTTTCTTGCTATGCTAACAGGCTAGCACAGAGTACTTTATCCAGGTGAATTGAAGACCACATTGTGAAGCTGAGAAGAAATAACTTCCAAGTGAAATTCTGCCTCCATAACGGAAGCGCCAGTCTTGCAGGACTTTGCTTTTACTACTGATTTCATATGAATGCTATGCACACCTGTAGGATGCACAAAGGGATAACACTTGTAAGACAGAAACAGATCAGTAATATGAAATCAGAAATTACTACAGCAGTCTTTTCTTTAGTGAGAGTATTTCTTTGGTGAGAATTGAAAGTTTGGACTATGGGCAGCAGCACAAGACAACAATGATTGTAGACTATTCTCTCAACTTTCCATTGAGATGTCTTTGGTTTTAGTTAAAAAAAAAAAAAAGGACAAGTTTTCTGCTTCTTTCAAAATTCCAAATTCTTCCAAATTACAATTATCCCTCAGTCTGTGGCTCAGATGTGCCTCGGAGTACAATTATGGAACCACAAATAGTCCCTGAACATAACAGTTTAAAGAAATGTTGGCATCAACAAAAAATGAACTGAAAAAACACTTAACAGAATGTCTCTTCACCCTGCCTTCATGATACTTTTACATTAATGTATACTTCATTGCATTTCTTCTTTTTAAGTGATGGCAAATTCTGTTGAATTTTTGAAGAGTAGGGAAGAAAACCTGCCTACATCAGAAACAATTGTGCTGTGCGAACAGTGAACATCACTTTGGAGCAGGTTTTGTTGCATCTCTTAATACAGTATATATATTTGGTTCAAATGTGAATTACCATGTTTTTCAGTACTTTTAAAAGAACTTGTTCAGATTCATTTATTTATAGTTGTTGTGTGCACCCCTAACAGTACAGAAATTGGGTGGAAAAGTATGATTTTGACAGCTTATTTTGATTTTTGAATCTGCTCTGACTAGTTTGTGGGCATACAGCATGAATCTAAATGTAGGGAGACTAACAGATCAAATGCATACATATGGTGCAGATGACCTGCATGTGCAGGAAAAGCCACTTGCTGGACTAGAGAACATTTGCACAGCAATGCGTAAGAGGTAATAAATGACATACATTGGATTAACTGCACATATTCTGCATACATGTTCTTTGTGTATGTGTTGAATGCCCTGAATTCAGAAAAAGTCAGGTTTACTTTGTCCATTGCAATGAACTGCACAAATTCCAGTGGTAATTTATAGTTTATAGTTTGGGTGCTGCTGCAGAAATATAATTCTTCCATTCAGTCCCTGTTTTTATTTCGACATCTATTAATTGCAACTGTCTAACAAAAAGCAAACCTCTTTGTTTTGCAATCATATTGACATACATGCATTAAGGGAAGAACATATTTATGATTGGTGCTTTTTAATGGTCTGTGTGTCTCCTTAAAAAAGATGAGGATGTTTACCTAATTGTCATTTTAAATTTGATTTAATATCTGTATACAAGGTATAAGACATTAGATGGCATTTTATTTCCTTCATTGATATTTCTGGCAAAGTCTACTTAGACTAATTTTAGACGTCAGTGTTGTGGACATCTGAATGTAGACTTCTTGCACCATGCTCCTGTTAAAGACCTATGGAGAAAAATTCTAAAATAGTTCAGACGACTCATGTCTACAAGTACCTATTTCTCTGCACTAACTATAAAGGGAGCTCTGCTGTGTGTTAAGATCAGATGTACAGGTATTCTTTAAAGATGTTTAAAGTTTGGTGAGATGACACTTGTCAATTCAGTCTGTGATCAGTGCAAAACTAGTTGTTACAAAATTTTTTAGTACAGAAGAATCTATTTACCCAGTCACCTTTGTTTAGATATCAGAATTATCTTACAATTCAGGTAAAGTAAATTGAGAGTTTCAGATACTGAGTTTTTCAAATAATTTCACAATTCTGTCAATGGTTGAAAGTGGAGAAGGTTCACTGGCTTTCTCACATGTCTCATATTTACATTCTTTTAAAGATCTTGACAAGCAGGAATCAAGGCTTTGTTCCTCCAGTATCTTCTGTATTAGCAGAGGGATTCAAATCTCTGACAAAGCAGCTCTGTGTATAAGAGGTAACTTACAGACACAACTTGCATTTACAACAGAAAAAGGTCTAAAGAGAAGTAGAAGCAAAGGCTTGTTGAAATAATTAAAAATTCAAAGGGACCAGGCACTTCTGAAATCTGATAACACCAATTTTCTTAATGGCTTTCTATTTTTTCACTTCACACATTTTAAAGTCCTCTCCCTCCCATACTACTCCCCCAGCCCCCCAAGTATGGAGCATTTACGTTTGTGCATAAGTATTACGTTCTCTGAGTAGTAATTGTAGTTTGCCATTTATTCTTCAATAATTGCTTATCTTTCTGTTCCACTCTAGGGAGCATCTGAGGACACCAGCTGGCTGAATATTATTCTTCCTCCATCATCTTTATTTATAGACAAATAAAAGAAGCCTATAGGAAGAACCAATGGTTTCTTTTAACCTTAAAAAGTGCCCCTTGGAATAGCATGACCCTTCTGTTTAAATCCCATGCTTCCTGCACTGAAATTTTAATCAGTTCAGTATAATTCCCTGTACACCAGTATGCTTCCCAAATACTTCAGTCTCCAGACTGAACAGCAGGCATTTTCCCTCACCCCAAATTCTTCTTTCTCTTTTACTAATAAGCTGGAAATCCAATAGCATTATTTTACTTCTAATTTCGGTGAAGTGCCTCCATTACAAAAAGACAATAAAGCATTGTGCTGGAAGTTTGAACAGTCATTTGTCATCCATGGAGCAATTATGCTGAGAAAGAGTTGACAGAATGGACCACTTTCTGTTAATAGTGCCAACACTCTGCTTTAAAGCAGACACTATCCACAACCAAGCCCAGCTAATGGGTATGTGTCAAAAATGATGTTTCTGAAGCAAAATCTTGGGTACTTAAGATATTTCTATTTCCTCCCCCAGACATCTGAAGGCGATAAATGAGAAACTGCCACTTTTCTATGTAATTATTTTCTGAAAAAAATATTTGCTGATAGCTGACTATCCTTAATATTGATTACTTGAAAAGGTCAGAATGATTCCTTGGTATTTTATTAACTTTATAAATAGAAAAGGTAAAAGCAAAACGTGAAAGGTAGCAGTGTGGTTATTCAATAAAATTAAAAGGGTGAAAATGGGAAAGACAGTGTAGATATCTCAGGCTGAAATATCTGTGCAAAATAATAAGAAAAAAATCTAGGTTATGTATGGTGTACAGACATAATTAAAAGAAGCATTATTAGGAGTGAAACAGAAAGAAAGAGAAATCAAAACATGTCACCAGGAATAATGAAGAAAAGGTCACATTTTCACTTAGATTTAGAAAGTAAGTATCTTAGTGGCATGCATAACAAGGAGATAAAATGTGCATCAATTGGCGCATACAGCAGAACCATGTAGAAATTTTGAGCTATATGAAGTGCCGCAGTTATTAAAGTTAAAAGGAGAATTTCAGTCAGCAGTAATATTTTATATTCAACAGTCAAAGTCTGAGACAACAGTGCTTTTTAAATGGCTTAAGCCATAAACCAGCCAACAGCTCATGCTGGTTCATATTTTATTCTGTTGTGATTTATATGCTTTCTCAAATTTGCCATATGCCTTCTAGAGACCATCACATTTAATCTCTAAACAGGAAAAGATGCTGCTGGATTTTCTGCTGATTGGCATTGCCAAAGTGCTGAGGACTTCATGCTTAAATATCTTTGATCACCATAGTCTGCAGATGTAGCCGAGAGGCATTAGTTATAGACAAAAAGGGAAATAGTCACCATTTGTTTTGATGACACTGTTGCACACCAAGACCAGCTGAAGGCCACTGCCATTTACCAATTGGTCCTGTCAATTAAGGAAATATTTCTGGTCCCTTCACCACTTTGTTTTCATAAGAGGTTGGAGAAGGGAACCTTACTGTGAGGGTGAATAGCTGTCCCAGTTTACCATACCAGTGCAAAGCACAATAGAGTGGTATGTTATGTCACCCAAGGTATCATTTTATTATCAACAGCTACAAGATACCTCAAATCAAATCTCTTTGTACTACCACTGAGCAAATCTAGGACCTATTTGCCACATCGTATGTTCATTACTAACATTACTCCCATTAAAAAAAAAAAAAAAAAGAAAAAGAAAAAGAAAAGATACTCTATAAGGTATGAAGAAGCTTGAAATAGTTTTGAGAAATCATCTCTCCATGTTTCTGTTGGTCAAATTTGGATCAAATGAGAAGATTCAAGGAAAGGAGCCTAAGGACTGGTAGTGTTAGGGGTGTCTTTGAGCCTGGTACTGTCTGAGACACTCTTTATGTTAACATATGCACCATCTTCTAAAGGGATTCCAGTACCTGTGTACAGCAATCCCATCCTTTCACACTCATCAGAAATGGGAAAGCTTCAAAAACCAAACACCCTCAAAGCCAAACTCCTTCTCTGACCCCACAGTGAGACTCCCTTCTTTAAACTCACATAAAAGTAGCTTTTCTATCTGTCCTTCCTAAATTTCTTAGTAATAACAATATGATAACAAATTGATTACAATAAGGCTACTCTTCAGTTTCTAATCTTGACATTCTTCAAATGTTAATGAGAACACTGATGACTTGAAGGTGATTTTAAAAGAGAAAGGATACCTAATATAAAATG